CAGTACGCGATAGACTTTGCAGGACTTTCGTGATCAGGGTTTTAGGTTTGAGTTTGGCGGCGCTACTTCCCAGATGCAATGATCTGGAAGTGCTGCTTCCCAGCTGATTGGCAGAGTCTGGGTTCAAAAAAGGGTTTAGGGTTTAGTGTTTGGGGTTGAGGGTTTAGGGTTTAGGGTTTAGGGCAATATTGTTCTTCTCCGTATGAGCAATACTATTGCCGCGCTACTTGTGATTATGTCTCTTCTCATGATTATGATTATGACTGTTGTTTTGGTGCATATGTTTAAGTATGTTTATGACTATTGCTACCATTATTGCCTAACACGTTTGCCATGTTCTGGGGTTGGAGCTGGAGAAGGGTGTGGTATGGGCTTCGCAGGTTTACCACAGTTCAGTCTGAGTTCAGTGCTTTACATGTAGTCTTCACCTTTCATGGTTCAGGGTTAGGGTGTCGGTTCAAGGTTTAGGGCCTCGGGTAAGGAACCACAGTCTGTTTCGGCCCCTTCCCGTCTAGTTTCCGGAAGAGCACCATGAAGGTCCCGGAACAATCTCTTGTCGCCCACAGGGACTTTGACTCAAGCCATCCTTTGCAGCCCGTAGATCTTATAACTTTTTCTCGCACCCGAAACGCCAACAAAATTACATGGATACCTTAAGCCTTGAAGCGTCCAAGCCGCGACCCAAAATCCCAAACCGCATGAACACACGGAAAGCCCTAAACCCTAAACCACCCTAAACCCTACACCTTAAACCCTAAACCCTAGACCTCAAACCCTAAACCCTAAAACCCAAACCCTTAAACCCTAAACGCGAGGGCCATCTAGAACCCTGAGCCCTTAGAGCCCTTGGCCGTGTAAGACGCTATGGATCCCTACCGAACCTATGAAGTCCCCTAGGGTTTAGGCTTTAGGACTTTAGGGTTTGGGGTCCATATACACTAATCAAAGCCTTGCAAGACCCAACACAAATCCTTGTAAACTTATTCAATACTCTGTTAAACGACACACTGTAGTCACAACAAGACGCACATAAAATCCTACAAGAGCTCCATAGAGCCCGGAATTACAGACACAGGAAGCCTGCCGGGACTTGCAGTGGCAGCCCGGATTCCGGGCCGTTGAGATTTGAGTAAGGGTTTAGGGTTGCGACTTAGGGTAAAATTTAGGGTTTAAGGTAATTTAGAGCCTAAGTAACCTTAATTGCAAGAAGGTTTCAATCAGTTTGTCTACTCAGCGGGTCTTAATTTTTATGCTAGGGCCAGGGTCTGTTTTATTTAAAGCGTATGAAAGCTTCACCCTAAGGGTCCAAGTAGTCCTTATAAATGGCGTATACTTGGACCCTTAGGGTCATGGTTTACGGTTTGAGGGTTCCGTTACCCTAAGCCCTCAACCCTAAGCCCTCAATCCTAAAGCCTCAGCCCTCAACCCTCAACCCTAAACCCTAAACCCTATAAACCCCCAAACCCAAAACCCTATACCCTAAACTCTAAACCCTCAATCCCCAACCCCAAACTCCAAATCCCAAACCCTAAAACCCTAAACCCCAACCCCAAAGTCCAAACCCTAAACCCCAAACCCTAGACCCCCAACCCCAAACTCCAAACCCTATACCCTAAACCCTAAACTCGCGCGTTCTTTGTGTCACTTCGTCGGTGCTGGAAGGTCCCAAGTTCATGAGGCTCTTCGCTGTATGGCTTCAAGCCTAGTAGGTTTTATTTTAGGTTTTATACGGACTTTCATTAGGGTTTAGGGATTTTGGGATTTAGGGATTTTAGGGTTTAGGGATTTTAGGGTTTAGGGATTTTAGGGTTTAGGGATTTCAGGTTTTAGGGTTTGGGGATTAGGGTTTGGGGATTAGGGATTTTAGGGTTTAGGTTTTATAGGGACTTTGGGGTTTAGGGATTTCAGGGTTTAGGGATTTTAGGGTTTAGGGTTTGGGGATTAGGGATTTTAGGGTTTAGGTTTTATAGGGACTTTAGGGTTTCGGGTTTGGGGATTAGGGATCTTAGGACTTAGGGTTTGGGGATTAGGGATTTTAGGATTTAGGGTTTTGGGGATTAGGGATTTTAGGGTTTAGGTTTAGGGATTTTAGGGTTTAGGGTTTAGGGGTCTTAGGGTTTGATTAGAGTTTTGGTAGGAACCTGATGAAGAAACCCTAGGTCTTCGATTCGAGTTGCGTATATGAATCCTAACATACTGGGGTTGTAGGGCCCGGGATTCTGAACCAGGTTCCTACATTACAACTGTGCGGTTCCAGGGTGGTTTGAGCAGTTTATCCTAAGCCCTAAACGGCCCGAAACCCTAAACCTCTTGCTCTAGGAGGGTAGTGTTGAGGGCTCTGGGTTTTAGTGCATGCCTAGGGCTCTGATGAAGAAACACTATATAGGACTTCGTTCGAGTTCCTTACATGAGTCCTAACATATTGGGTAGAGTTTAGGGTTTAGAGTTCGGGGCTTTGGGTGTATGAATCCTAACATATTGGGTAGGTTCAGAGCTTAGGGCTTTCGGGTTTAGGGCCAGTTTACGGTTTCGGGGTTTGGGTGTTAGTGTATTGCGACTTGCAGTTGGAGCGCTGAGGGGTGCTGCAGCGCTTCAGGGCTCCTGGTGGGGTGCAGTGCGCAGCCCTACACCTATGTCAAAGAGTCCTTGGGTTTAGGGTTCAGGGTGTAGGGGGAGGTTTTGAACCCCCCAAAACCCTAAACCCTAAACCCGAAACCTTCAGGGGGTATGGACGTATGAACATGGACAACTGTTGTCATGTTCCCCTTTACACCAAAACCCTCTTCGTCTCCTTGAGGCATCTTTATGAACACGGGTTTAGGGGATAGGGTTTAGGGGATAGGGTTTAGGGTTTAGGGGATAGGGTTTAGGGTTAGGGTTTAGGTTTTAGGGATTCATAAAGACCTTAAAAGGAGCCCTCAAATCATCGGGACCCTTGGAGGGGCACAGTTTGGTCCTTACTACTGGTGGAACCCTACCCCCCTAAGGGTCGCTATGACAACCACAAACATAAGCCAAAGACCTTCAGCAGAAGCCGAGGAATGACTGTGCACGGCCCATTCCGGTCTTGCCGCTCGGCCGGGTTTAGGGTTGAGGGTCTGCGGTTTAGGCTGAGTTTACTATTTACGATGTAGGGTTTGTGGAATGTTTGCGGTTTTCTGTATAAGCCTTAATACTGTGTTCTGGGTTACTGTGTTCAATATGGTCACCCTAAGGGTCCAAGTACCTAATCATCATATACTCTCCCAGATATTAACCTACAAAACGACTCTCCGTAACCCAAGTACCTGATGATTAGGTCCTTTGGACCCTTAAAAACCCTAAAACCCTAAACCCTAAACCCTAAACCCTAAACCCTAAACCCTAAACCCTAAACCCTAAACCCTAAACCCTAAACCAACCCTGAAGGCCCTTAACCCTGAACCCTAAACCCTAAACCCTAAACCAACCCTAAAGGCCCTACACCCCAAAACCCTAGACCTTTGGGGTCAGTTTCAGCTCGTTTTCGAGGCTTCGGGGTTTGGGCAAAACGGTTCGGGCGGAAGGGTGGCTGAAGTTGAAGATATGGTTCAGAGTTTAAGATAGAGTTTAGGAGTTATAGGGTGTTGTTCAAAGTTTAGGAGTTATAGGGTTCAGGGTTTAGGGTTCAGAGTTTAAGACTTAGGGTTTCATGTTTTACAGTTTCGGCTCTAGGATTTGGGGTCTCATTTTTTACAGCTTGGGCTCTACGATTTGGGGTTTGGGTTTTTTGGTTGAGAGTCTATAGGGTTTAGGGTTTAGGGTTTAGGGTTTAGGTCTTGGGTTTGGGGGTTTCGGTTGTCGGGTTTATATGGTTTTTGTTGCTTCAACATTCCGGCCCCACGCAACACCGTTTCCATCTCGCCTCCACGTCCACCGCAGTATCCCTAAGGGTCTAAGTACAAGTATCTTGCACCCATATTACTCTCCAAAGTTCTGACTTCTAAAACTATTATCCTAAACGCAGGTACTTACTGATTAGGTCCAGAGGGGCGTTTCACCCTAACCCCCAAACTTGTAGGGTTCAGGGCTTAGGGTTAAAGCCCTAAACCCTAAACCCTAAATCCTTCACCCTAAACCCCAAACCCTAGCCCCCAAACCCCCCAAACCCTAAATCCTTCACCCTAAACCCTAAACCCTGTACCCTAAACCCCAAACCCTAAATGATTAACCCTACAAACCTCAAGGCTCGAAGCTCGTGCCAACATCGAGCGGGTGCACAACAACGGCCTGACAGCCCTGCACATCGCGCCTCGGATTGCGGGTTCGGGCTTAGGGTTTGGTGGGGTTTAGCGTTTGGGGTTTGGGGTTTGGGGTTTAGGGTTTAGGGTTTGGGGTTTGGGGTTTGGGGTTTAGGGTTTGGGGCTTTAGGGTCCGAGGGGTGGGGCCTGAGTTCCCGACTGCAGTGAATCCCGGCCAGTACAGGGGCGTCTAAAGTCCATCCCTAGTTGGAGGTTCATGGCTAGTTATAATAAGTGGGGTTACAAGCCCCTTTATGTGGGTTGTAACACTAGTCACCCTACAGCTAACCCCCAAAATTACCCCTAAACCTGCTTTTGCAAGTTACCATACATATAGTATAAACCTCCAAATCACCCCTAAACCCTAAACCCCAAAACCCTAAACCCTAAACCCCTAAACCCAAACCCCGAAACCCCTAAACCCCCAAACCCTGGCCGCCCTAAACCTGTTTTCATTATACGTAACTACCCCTGAGCATCCAAGTAACTTCCAAAACCTCCAGCCGAGACCCGGAGCTCTAAACTCTGAAGGCCTGCGTTTTAGGGGTTTAGGGTTTTAGGGTTTTTGGGTTTAGGGTTTTAGGGTTTTTAGGGTTTAGGGTTACGAAGTCTAGTCAATAAATTTACTTCCTGATAAGACTGATGTGAACGTGTGTACGACAATATCCCAATATGTACATATATGCGCATGCACTTACATGTTCATTTTTATAACCAGTCAGTAGTCATAAGTTGTTTAGTAGTACTCTTATGTAAGAACCATTCAGTTGGTACATTCATTGCCGGATTTATGCATGCACATGCATACGTACATACATATGGTTTTCATAGCAGCAGGTAGCAGTGAAGAACTAAAGTCATGAGCCTGGCTCAAGCGAACCCTAAAGCCTTCAGGCCATCAACCACCGATAGTATATGAAGGTCCCAAACCTAAAACCCTAAAGCGTGGACCCCAAACCCCGGACCCTAAACCCT